ACGGGCCTTTCTCCTACTCCTTCGAGCTCATTCTTGTCATTGTTCTCCTCCTCCGTTCCATTGCGTTCATCATCATTGCCATAATCAAAGTGCATTCTTTGAAGAAAGCAGTGAGGTCCATGCATGGAAGCTCACCGCATTTCAGTGTCTGGACTTTACCTTCGATGATGTGCTTGATTGCCTCAAGGAGGAGAACATCATTGGAAAAGGTGGTGCTGGCATTGTATACAAGAGGATCATGCCCTACGGTAGGGCTGTAAGAGAACTAAGCGTTCGACGAGCTACTCGTTGCTCGGTTTGATTAAAGCTCCTTTGTGATCGTTTAATTAACCAAACAAACAAACTCGAACAATATTTTAAATACTCGATCCTTAAATAAATAAGCTTGAACACTAACGTGTTCGGCTCATTTGTGTTCACGAACAACATCTTTTGAAGCTCGTGAACAAGCTTGACATTAAGCTCGATAAGAGTTTGATAAAAGCTTGATTCGTTTTTTATTCAGAACTCTTAAATAAGCTCAATAAAAAGTTAAAAACTTTATTAATATTTAATTATAAAATTAATAAATATACATAATATAAACATTTTAAATATATTATAACATAATGATATCATTATTTTTAATTAATAAATTTTAAAGTAATTAAATATTATAATATATGCTAACTAAAATAAATTTTGCATATTTATTAAATTGATATTATATTTTATTTAATTATAATTATTTTTATGTTCGGTTCAGCTTGTTTATGAATGTGTTGGTTTGACAGTTTAAAAAAATTCGCTAAATATGTTCACAAACATAGATCGTTAAGGCTTGTTTGTTTAAAGTTCTTTAAGCATTAAACGAACCGAACATGAATCGAACAAGAATACTAATTAATATAAACGAACCAAACATGAACGCAAACAAAAAAGATCGAATCTAACAATAGCTAAACTTGAACACACTGATAATAAATGAACTCAAACATGAACATTCATATACTCGGCTCGGCTCGATTTGTTTGCAGCCCTACCCAACAGTGAGCAGGTGGCAGTGAAACGATTGCCTGCAATGAGCAGAGGCTCATCTCATGACCATGGTCTCGGCCGAGATACAAACAATGGGTAGGATCCGACACTTGCACATTGTAATGCTGCTTGGCTATTTGCTCCCTCCACCTATTTGCTCAAATACAAGATAATGGCGCCTTCTCCGATCTGTCCTAGGCCCACGACCAAATCCCTTTCGTGCCAACTCCGCCCCCTGCTTCGTTTTCTTCATACTGGAGGAGAATGATGCAGACCATCTTAATTAAATTATTTCTTAGGCATATGTTAATTAGTTTGTTACAAGTTTGTTATAGGATTTCAGAATGTTCTTGATTTCTCTAGGTTTCTCTAGGCTTTTCCTTAGTAGCTTATAAATATATCAGTTGTAAGAAGAAAGAGCGAATGAATATATTTTTTGAATTTAATAGTATTTTCACTGGTTTTGTGTTCTAGTTCTGAGGAGCTTTATTTGAAATGCTTCATCGAATGATCTCCCTACATCAGCTTTACTCTCCTTAATGAAAGATAACAAAATTTCTCAGGCTACTCTGAAATCATGAATGAATGTGATTATATAAGCAAATTATGCACACCATCAAGCAAATTTTAAATTTAAACATAACACTCAGTATATTGCAATTATAAGATACATAATATGAGTGTATTACAAATATATTGCAAGTGTTAAATGTAAAATACACAAATATGCATTAATCAATATGTTAAATTAATTACACAAATACACATGAAAACAAATCTCGCATGTGCTCGACAAACATACTAAATTTAAAAACTTCAATGTCTGAGAAGGGTTTAAATGCTCACTAATATAAAAGCCTATTTTCAAACTAAACAACCGCATGTGCTTCGACCGTTGCTTTGAACTCCTAATTCAAAGGTCCGAGAATGCCGCATGATTCAAATATTCAAGTTTTATCCCCCTCGAAAGGACTGGGAGTCAACATGACTTGGATTAACAAATAAATACTTAATCCTAAACTAATTACTCAAATCTCAATGATGGACGTGTTGATAGAAATCTTAACCAGATTGTTGCAAAAGTAATTCAAGCATTGTGATTTTGATGATAACAAACATTATTCTGTCTGTTACTGCTTTCTCTTATTTTTATTATATTTTATTTTGTGCTATGTGTACTAACATTTCAGGAATTAAGTCTATCGTTCACTTGCAATTCTGATCAGCTCAAGACTAGGTAGACTAGGGTTACAGTATGTAATTTTCAATTTATTATGTATTTTTTTCTTTCTTGAGTCATATCATATAATTGGGTGGATATATTTGCTAAGCAACTTTGCACACACACAGGGTGAGAGAAGAAAATATTTTTGAGAGAGTTTTTCTTAAGTAATTCATACTGTATGAACTGTTGTAATATGTCAAAACGCTAGCCACCAAAGTTAAGAAAGATATTAATTTTGTACTAATTGTACAATACGATTTGGATCATACTATACGTCCTAATCAAAATCTTTCTTAATTAATCCTGCGATATTAGGCAATCAAATCATGAAAAATTATTATGATTAATTGTATTGTACAAAATAGTTCGTACTGTACGATTACTCGTGTATGAAATTAGTCGTCCCTTGGATCATACCAAATAAAATCCATGATCTTGTATTGATCATACCGTACGATGTCCGCAGTGTTGGACGATCACCCATGTACGAAGTTGGCCGTCCCAAGGATCGCCCCAAACGAACATAAGAAATTTTTGCAAATCTTACCATATAATTTTGATCATACTGTACGATGTATTATAAAAGTTGAACAATTCGTCTGAACGATCTTGTTGGACGAGTTTGAATTGAACTGATCATACCATACGAACAGAAGTCGGATGGCTTGAAATTTAGGAGTTTTTTACAGCCCACTATTTAAGAGTTTCAAATATTCTTTTGAGCAAACTTTTGCTGCTTAGTCTTCTTGAGAGAGAGCTTAAGGGAGAGAAGGAGAGCTTGGCGAGAGAAGAGAGGAAGATTTTGTAAGGGAGAAGTTGTGAGAGGATTCACAAGTTTTCTCCAAGCAAGAATCTTGCCTAGTACCTACAAGCGTTTGCCTGGAATCTTTGTGGCTCCGGAGAAGAAGTTCTTCAGCAAAGATCGTGGTTCTCTGATTGTCACATGGAGGGTGAAAATAGAGTTGTTGTTTTGTGACCATCACCAGGAGGGTGAAAATAGAGTTGAGGTTCTCTGCCTGTAAAAGATTCATGGCTCTGTGCCGCACCAGGGAGGTGAAACAACGTTTATACAGGCTTCTTCGCCTTGTTGTGGGAGCAAAAGGAGAGTCATTTCTGTTTAGTGTAATACTTGGTGAGGGAGTCTCCGAGGAGTGGACGTAGGTCAAGTTGACTGAATCACTATAAATTTTGATGTGTTCTTTCTATTTATTTTTTCTCATTTTAATTTATGCATTTTTCTGTGATTTGATCTGTGTTTGAAATATCTAATTTTGTTATTGTAAAATTAGTTCTACTTTCGCATCAGGGGTTTTAATTTTTCCTTTGTTAAAGAAATTTTTAAAATAACCAATTCACCCCTCTTTTGGTTAGCCTCAGGATTAGTTCTTTAGGGTTTAACAGCCCTCACGAACTTTCAGAGGGGTCAATTCTCAAAGCTTATTAAAGTTTCAAAACTTAATATCCACCAAATTTTAAACATTTAAATAAAATCTTTTCACCAAAAATTCAAACTAAAATCCATCTTACTTCTGCAACCATTTGTCGAGGGTGATAAATTAATTTTAAATTAACCTCAGCTCACAAAGAGTGAATGTATCATCAGGTGTATTATTAAGATTCATTCTCAAATAATCTCTTGCTAGCAGGGATGTGAAACGTACTCTTTGATTGGGTGATTTTGCTGCAAAATAGTACAACTATATTATAATTACGATCAAAGCCCATATGTTTCCTAACAGTTTTAAGTCTGAGTAATGAATCATATGACATACTCAATAGCCATAAACCCCTTTTGTTAAATGTATCTCCTCGGACAAACATTCACCTCTGATCTATAAGGTATTCTTGGACATAGCAACATATGGTTGCCTGATAAGGTGCGTTCTATTAGGTTGGGTCGACTACCTACTTTGGCTAATTAGACCAGCGACCTTGATAGCTCGGGACAACAGAATCATGGAATCTTGATCGGACTCATCTTCATTCTTCCTATCAACTGTTTTAAGTATATAGTGATAAATTTCATATCATAAACTTCAAAACCCCATAATTCAAATTTAAAATCCCAAAAGTTGTTGCTACTATAAACTTATTACTCATTGCATATCTCACGACTAGCTTTAATCGAAAGTTATCTCTCGTTATGAGGAGGATAATTAACTATAGGGGCTTGCGCCTATAGAAAACCAGAACTCTGATTATAAAGTCTCCTCAAAATGAGGCCAAAATCTCTGGGTAATGTCTTATATAAATTTAAATCTGCCTTCTAAAAATTTACCGAAATTTAAATTCATTAAAACTCTCCCAATCAAACAAAAGAGGTGTGGAGAGGCCGGATCACGAATTTTTGGAGCCCACATACTACACTAATTTTCTCTTCTAATACAAAGTATATTATTTTGAGTGTTAGCAAGATTTATATTAAATATGAAAGTTCTCCATATTTGGAGAGTGATATATATTATTTGGGTGAACCTTAGAACATTGAATTCATTCTCCGATTACAATTTATGAATAAGAGGGTTCTCTCGTGAATAAGGCACTAATTTTCTCTTCTAACACAAAGTTTCCTTGCTTCATATATGCACCTGTGCTGGTTAACTTTTCCATAACTTCGTAAAGTTTCTTTCTTTTTGCTGTCAATGCCCAAAGTTACTATCCTTTTTAAAATTTATAACTTATGCATTGATTGGTTTTCCTTTTCTTCTTCAATTTATTATTTTTTTGGAAGATGTAGCCTTAAATGAGGACTTTGTAGGAGCGCTTTCCTGATCCAAAAGCTTTGGTGAAAGACCTTCATGCTATGGGTATCAATGCAATATGGATGCTTGACCCTGGGATCAAATATGAGGAGGGTTACCATGTTTATGATAGTGGTTCTAATAATAATTTATGGACCCAGAAAGAAGATTGCAAACCTTTTGTTGGTAAGGCATATAGAATAAATTTAGCGATAATGAGTTATGATTTGAAGTTAATGATATCATTATTTTCATTATTAGGGGAGGTATGGCCGGGGCCTTGTGTTTTTCCTGACTTTACACGGAAAGAAGCACGGTTATGGTGGGCTAATTTGGTGAAGGATTTCGTTTCTAATGGTGTTGATGGGATATGGAATGATATGAATGAGCCTGCTGTTTTCAAAGTAAGTCTCTGGAAACTGAGACCTGCTGTGTCCATCAGATTTTCGAAAATTGATAAAAGGTTGCAATTCTACTCCACAGACAGTTACAAAGACAATGCCTGAGAGCAACATCCACAATGCAGATGCTGAAATTGGTGGTATACAAAAGCACACACATTATCATAATGTAATTTCTCCATCACTCTTTTTTATCATCTTTGAAATGTGTCCTAGTTGTCTGCTTGTTATTATTCTAATATCTCATTTATAATCTTAAATTGTTGGAACATATTATGTATCGATGTCTTTGTAAAAGTTATGCTCAGTCATTTATAATCTAGAGTTGCTGGAGCATATTATTTATTGACATTCTTGATAAAACTTTAATAGTTATGTTCAGATGATTCATCCCAATACAGGTTTATGGCATGCTGATGGCAAGGTCAACTTATAAGGGAATGAAAATGGCCAATGAGAATAAGCGTCCATTTGTTCTTACTAGAGCTGGGTTCATAGGAAGTCAGCGTTATGCTGCCACATGGACAGGCGACAATCTGTCAAATTGGGAGCATCTCCATATGTGCATACCAATGGTTTTGCAACTGGTCAGTTTATTATATATATTTATTCTGAAATATTGTTGCCATGAAATATACCGAACAAGAAAATAGTCTGACGCATTTGATGATTTTTTTTCATTTTTCCACTGGCTATTGATGCCTTACCTTATAGCCTAACACGAGGTCTCAGCAGAATTTATTTGTCTAATAATTTGACTCATCATCTATAACCGGTGCAAGACAAAGAAGAGTGAGCCTAAATTCTAGGTGAAAGGACTGACAAATTGTTCAGTAAGAAGGTTTTGCAGATTATAATATATTTCTAATGTTCTAAGTTCTACCAGGAACTGTAACGATTGCCATGCTTATTCTTACTTTCCCTGTGAAAGAGCAATGCTTTTTTTAGCAACTCAATTGCTATTTCCTCTTCTTTCCAAAGCACCTTGGTTTGTCCAGCTCATTTTCTTCCATAGCTACTTTTTCCATAGTCTTTTGTGAGCAAAATTTTGCACGCCCCATTTTTGAAAGGGCCAAGTAAAGATGTCCGTAACCTATTTATCTGTTAATGTACGTAAATGATATGCTAAATGCCTTTTTCTGCATCATAAGCATAACACATTCATTTATTAATTAGAAGCACAAGGCCTTCCACTTTGTATATTACTTCTATCGCATCTTAAAGTATGTCAATGTCTTCCCTGAATATTTGAATTTTGAGAATTATAGTGTTCTGACACTTCTTTTTTGTGAACTCATTGGCTCAGGGTCTAAGTGGTCAGCCATTATCAGGACCAGATGTTGGTGGATTTGCTGGTAATGCTACTCCACGGCTTTTTGGAAGATGGATGGGCGTGGGTGCCATGTTTCCTTTTTGTCGGGCACATTCTGAGTCTGGAACTATTGATCAGGAACCTTGGTCCTTTGGAGAAGAGGTTTTCCGTCGTCCAACAATTTCATAACCCACCTATTCCACCACAATTTTCATCCTTTAATCAATATGCTAGAATATTAAAATTAACGTTGTAAGAAGTTTCTAGGTGGTATTCATCGTAGTTTATCTTCTCCATAAAGTTTTTTTCCTCTCTTTTCTAGTGCGAAGAAGTATGCCGCCTTGCACTCTTGAGGCGCTATCGGCTTATACCACACCTGTATACGCTCTTCTATCAGGCTCATAAAATGGGCACTCCTGTTCTCTCTCCCACCTTTTTTGCTGGTAAGCCTTCCTCCTTAAGTTTCCTTTCTTTCATTTTGCACATTTTAATCTTCAGTTGGTGGGCTAATTAAGCAGATCCAACGGACAAAAAATTAAGGAATATTGAGAATTCCTTTCTACTTGGGCCACTTCTAGTTTGTGCAAGGTACTTTTGCTTTAACCTGGATTTGATAGGCTGTTTATCCTTATTTTTTATTTATGGTGCTTAAAATCATAATGTGGTAAGCTTTTTTTCGTCGTTTCTTTTTATGAAGGCTACTGTAGGCAAAGCTATATCTTTGAAATATGAACATATTTCCTTATGATGGATGGAAGACATCTGAGTATTCATTCTTGCACTAACATATGTCGCTTGGTTAACAGCACCATACCAGAACACGGATCACATGAATTATCTCATGAATTACCTAATGGAACTTGGATGAGGTTTGATTTTGGTGATTCACATCCAGTGAGTTGTCTTACTACCTAAATCTTCTTTATTTGGATCTGTAATTTCATAATTTATGTGCTAGATCTAGATTACTCTATGTGCTCTGCTAATTCCTTTCAGTCTTATTCTTTTGAAAGGATTTGCCAATTTTGTACTTGCAAGGAGGTTCAATAATTCCTGTTGGTCCTGCTATTCAGCATATTGGTGAAGCCAATCCAACCAATGAGTTATCGCTTTTTATATCTTTGGACATAAATGGTAATATATATTGTTATTATGTTAAGAACACTGCAGTACTGCACAAAATTTATTTTATTTTTTACCATTTCATCATTTCTTTAGGTGTTCTTACCTTGGCCTCTTTTTTGGAGGTCAAAAGAAATTACTAATTCATCCTTTGACCAGTGGTTTCCTTTTGATCATACAATAAAGTAAAACTGACCTTACCTGATCAAAGCATCTAATTCTAGTTATGTGGTTATATTGTTTCATGCTATGGCATTTTGAATGGACCGTTGATCATCATCTGTATGGTAGTATGATGTGAAACGTACATGTGATGATGGGTTTCATAATGAAAGTTTGCACGCTTAATTTTAGATAGAACAAATAATTATATATTTATAATAATTTGAATGACGAGATAAAACATTAAGAACGGAAAAACGAGCTTACGGTTGAATCATACGGGTAAGAGTTAAGATCATATCAATTTGTTGATTGACGGAACTCTGGATAGTAAGAAAGGTTACTTGGGAATGCAGGACAGCAAGGTTGACCTGCTATATTTCCAGACAGCAAATATACGAAATCTGGACAGCTGTTTTGGCAATGGAAAATTCTGGACGGCACACAAGATCTGTCCAGAAATCTGGGCAGCAACTTGGACAAGGAAAATTCAAGATTTCGGCTCTCTAGATGCAAGGAAACTAGAGGAATATTATGGGAAAATCTGTGCCCAGCAGTAGAGAAGAATCTGGAATTAAATTCCTTAGGAGCATGTCAAATATGTCACAAACTAATTTGGAGTGAAAGGGGAAGGGGCCGGCTGGTTTATGGGAGCATTAATGATTTGATTGGTGGTTTAATTGGGGCATTAATTGGATAGGAGAGAGGCTTGAGATTTAAGTAGGTGGGGACCACTAGTAATTAATCAAAATCTGAATTTTTATTTCAGATTTTAATTGTCTCATGTAACTCCCTAATTTAAATAAATTTAGGAGGAAATTTGAATTTCAAAAGATTGTAACTCCTCTTAATTAATTCCCTAATTTAATTTGGCTTAATTAAGAAAGTCATTAATGAGGGAAATTCAAAATTGGAGGAGGGAGAGGGAGAGGGATTTCCAAACATGAATGATGACTAGGAAAATTCTAAATAAATCCAAATTAATTTAATTTATAATTTGAATTCATTTAAAAATTTCCATAAATGGAACTTCCCAATTTGGAAAGAATTTGAATTTTAAATTTCAAATTCCAATGAAGGCTAGGTGAGGGAGGCGTGGGGGAAAATGGCGGCGAGGGGAGAGGCCGGCGGCAAGGTGGCCGGTGGGTGGAGCTAGGGTGGCCGACGGGTGGAGCTAGGGTGGAGATGCTAGTGGAGGTTTCGGATTCTTCCACTCTTGACTTGGCTCGCGGTAGTCAATGGAGGAGAAGAAGAATGTGCATGAAGAGGGGAGAAAGGAGATAACCAAAAATATACGAGAAAGATAGAGATAACTAACGAACTCACACAGAGATCGTAAGAACTGCGAACCTCGGACTCTTCCAAAGATTGATGGGTATTGCGAATTACCCTCCTCGGGCTTCTCCTCTCATGAACTCACTAAGAGATCACGTGAACTCACTAAGAGATCAACAAGAACATAAAACTTTTCATTATCAATAATCATCATCCCAAAATACAAAACAACTAGTCTATAAATAGGCCTCATGAAAAGAAAAGAAATAAAAGACTAAAATGCCCTTCGGGCTACAATATTACATAACCACCCATAAGGGTATAAAGGGAAAAATATTAATATGAAATAAACTAGTACATATAAATAAATAACTCAAGATCGTAGCCGTTGATCTTCGATGTCCTCATCATAGTATTTTAAGCATAAGTGAAGAAATGTCTTTCATTCTTTCATTAGTTTAGTCACATGCAGGGTGTGAGTGTGTGGTGAGGGAGGACTGGTGGAGCACAGTCAATACATAGTTTTACCTTAAAACTCCAAAATTACTAACACGTTTTAGAATTGGAAAACTGTATTGGGTAACATTGTTGGCTTGGATTGTTCACAATAGATGTTGCATGATTCTGGACAGGTTATTTAGATTCCTGCTGTGTGATATCATTATCATATTGTATTCATCAGTCAAAATTAAAAAAAAAAAAATGTAAACTCTTTCTGAAAGAGCATACAACAAATTTTAAACAGCATAATCACTCCTGTCAAGCGATGACTTGGGTTTCATTTGGGGCGGCTTTCTTACTGCTTTATAAAACTGTTTTTTATTTAAACAGCATAATCACTTACGGCTTTCTTACTGCTTTCACATACCTAAACTTTAGAGAAACATGGCAATATGTTAATCAGGTCTGAAAGGCAATACGCCCTAAAAACATGGCATATGAGGAAGTAACTTAATTTCAACTCAAGGGACAAAAATCAACAGCTATGATCAAATAAAAGAATTTTGTATTGAAGAGAAAACAATTTATTTATAAACATACCAATTGAATATCTATAATTATAATATATAAAATAAACCGTTATTGAATCAAGAGAAATCTAACAATCTTTCATCAAGGGTTTCAAATGAAATGATTTTTCTCGACTCCAACAATAGTCTTAACCACTTCCTTTCCCAAGGCCCTGCATCACATGCTTGATGTCTTGAATGGATCTCGTCTTTGGTGTTTTGCAAATGTTTTCAAATAAGTTAGTATTTGAGTGTTAATCACTCAATAAGTGGACAAATGGACGCTACAACATCTGCGCAATAAGGACTAAGCACCAACGACTTAGCTATTGAAGTTGTATTCATTCAACAGCAATTGGCTCTGATGAAGGAGATTGTCGAGTAGCAGATCTTGGTGATGAACGAAGAACTCAAAACTGAGGATAGTTTTCAGATGAGGGCATTGCTATTACAATAACGAGAGATTGAAATACATCCTCAAATTCAAGATGATAACTTGGATGGAGAAGGATCTTGGGCATTCTTTTGCCGGACAACATCAATCATTCAAGGCGGAAATCAAAATAGACATAAATTTCATCAACTTCGAGCAAGGGCCTGAATTATTTTCGAAAGTGTCATTTTCTCTTCGCCGTTATTTTAGAATACATCAACAATGTGAATGGTGGATTTTAACATCGGCTGGATTAACTTTGAAAGCCCTTATCTATGGGACCAAGCACTATCTTTATTAGAATAACTCAACAATGTCCCTTCTCTAAAGACAATATCAACTACACTACGAATAATAGGAGAACCGGGACTAAGCTTTGGATGCGGTAAAGGTTGGACAGGTGAAGAGAATTATAGATGCATGGCCACACTTCATTCGGCTCTCCATTTGATAGGAGAACCGGGATGATAAATAAGGTGTTGCTCTGATCATAATCCGATAAGATCAAAGAGGAAATGAAAGTGTTGACAAAGTGTTATTTTTTATTGTCAATCCCGAGGACATTGAATTTATATTTTGAATTGAATTTAGTATATAGAGATAAAATTTCTTAATAATGTGATAAGCTTTAGAAGAAGATTCAAGTAGCTTTAGTGAGATAATCTATAAAGGATATATACCACCTAGTCCTAGAGACATTGGTCACATGAGATGGTCTTCCAATATTCCTATGACTGATAAAAAAGGTTTAGAGGCTTTATTTGGGACTGTTAAGACGGATGTTTCTATTGTGTTTTGATAGTTCAATAAATTTCATATTGAAATAATTTTGAATTATTATTATTAAAGGAGATGAGAATAATTTTTTGAGATATGTAAAGCTTGGGTGACCAAGTTGGAAGTGTCATAACATCTTTTTATGACAAGATACATACATAGCATGATTTATTTGTAACATAAGATTTTCTTCAGCATTCAAGTGGTAAAGTTCAAATATTGGGAGAATCAACATCTCAGATTCCATATCTCTAAACTCGGTTTATTAGTTCATAAACTTTCTTATAATCTCTAGCCTATCCGCAAACTTAATAAGGATATGAATTGTGTTATTGAATTTTTTATACTCAATGAATTTCAAGATGTAATCTTAGAGAGAACGATTAACAATGTTAAGGAGGATTTTGGACTATTGACAGTCCTTATAAAGTTCTCCTTAGAATAGGGATATATTTTGTGAAATAAATATATGTTTATGATCATTTGATCTAATGCTATTGAGGCCACAATCCATGATTGGGCTTTATCGATCTTTGAATTATTGTTCATATCTTTTTGAATTGTTGATTAAACGATGATGTCAAATGTGGCTGGAAATGTCTGATTTGGAGTTAGCTGAACTCCTTTTTCAACATTTTTATTTGCTTTTAATTGAATGATGGAAGTGCAGAGCAACATGGCTTTAGTGATTCCATGTTATGAATTTTGAATCTTTCTTTTGAGAAGTGATTGCACGCGTGAGATAATCATCCTTTCCACAAACATTATTGAATGGGCTCATTGGAGGTAGTTTTGGTTGTTTAGTTTATGTTCCCTGAATGATAGATTTGATGAAAAGCTTTCATAACTGCTAATGCAGCCATGAATGATTAAGTGCTGACAAGTTCGGCAAGCAGCTAGTTTCAAGGTAACTTTGGCGAGTTGAAACGAGTTCAACACGGAAAGTTTGGCTAGGAGGGCTTTTGGCAAGCTAAGAAGCAAACGAACTCTTGCGTGCTATTGACTCTTGGGGTGAGCTCTTCCAGAATTGAGGCAAGCTTGGCAAGGCTCGGACAAACACTTACAACTAGTAAATAAAAACTTATTCATTTGTTTCAATTTATAGAAGAGTGACATATTTATAGATGCTAAGCAATGGCAATTACTCGTTCTAAAATTAAGGAAGAATTATTACATAATTATTGTGAGACAAATAAGGAGGATGGGAATTGACGGATTGTTGAGGTGGACAATCATCCCACTATTGATTTAACCCTAGATAAAACTCCTCCTAAAATAGCCATCATACACAATAAACACAATTGAACCTTCCTAAATAGCATAAACACAATTAGGAAACTTTCCTAAACAATTAA